TCAAGTTGAAGGGGCGAAGATTTGATACAGTTGAGGAAATTCAAGCAGAAACGCAGATGGTACTAAACACCCTAACAAAGAAAGACTTCCAGGATGCATTTGAAAAGTGGCAGAAACGCTGGGATCAGTATATGCGCTCCCAAGGGGACTACTTTGAAGGTGATGGTGCAGAATAAGATCTAGGTAAGATGTAATAGTTTTTATTAACATATTTTGGACACTTTTGGATTGCACCACGTATATAAAGGAAATGGGTGTTTAGATAAGATCAAGCTGAGTCTCCATATCAAAAGACTTAAGCAGCTGTTACCTTGATATTATCAAATGGATGTATCTGTCAGATATACTGTTGAAAGTGCCTCACATGGCATGGTTTCCATACTAGATTTCATTTTGATCAGTTCAAGCATTTAAGTAACATTAAATTATTACCTCAACCAGTTGAGAGGCTACAGTATTGGCATTCCTGATGGGAGGGATTTATTAGGTACACCAGTCAGATGGTCTCAGGTGGCATAATATACATAACATGTTTCATGACAATCAGTTTAGGCATTCAAGTAATATTAAGGTCATTATCTAAACAATCTGAGAGGCTGAAGTGTTGACATTACTGATGAGAATGATTTATGAAGTATGCTGTTTAGATGGCCGTAGATGGCATGACATACACAGCAAGTTTCACAAGTTCAGTTACAGCATTCAAATGGCTTCCCACCACGGTCGCCCGGGTTCGATCCTGGGTCTGGTCAAGTGGGATTTGTGGTGGACAAAGTGGCGCTGGAGCAGGTTTTCTCCGAGTACTTCAGTTTCCCCTGCCAATCTTTATTCCACCAACTGCTCCACAATCACCTTCACCTATCATCTGGGGCTGGTACAATAGGCCAGAAGTGGCCGCAGTACAAGGGACTTAGTCCCATCCCACTAGCATTAAAAAAAATTACAGCATTCAAAACTTGTTGGGAAGACACATACATATACAGACAACAAAGTGATCTCATAAACCTACTTGTATTTTGCCAAAACAAGGAAATTAAGCTAAAAATTTTATTAAATACATGCCGAAGATCTTAACTGTTACTGGCTGTACATCTCACTATTATGCTGGCATGCCTGCTATGCCGATGGCTGACCAGCAATACTAGGAGAATATTTTGAGCCAGACCATAGCAGTTAAAGGTAAAGCTCTCCCTGTGCTCAACTAATTAAGAACTACCCCATGAAAGCATATGGGGGAGGGGATCTATAGATCCATGTTTTCTGACCTTGGCACTTGGCACTGAAATTCTGTGCCCCACTCTAAACAGATTTCTGGTACTCTTTCCTGCAGTGAGTTATTTATAAACATGAATCTTAGGAGGGTCATTCATAATCTGAAAATATCATATTCCTGTCACATGCTGTCCGTGTGATCATTCTGTCAATATGTCACTGCCACTTGTTCATGGTTTTGTCAGCTTAGAGACAGTGGCATCTTAGTAAACCAAACGGAAGACTGACATATGGGTTGCTTCTAGGCAACAGCTAGGTAAACACTGCCTTAAAAGCCAGAACAGCAACAAACAAGTGGAAGAGTGTAAACACATCCCTCCCAACACACTAGAATGCAACAACAAGACATCTATTACTAGGAGACTGAGCAGGAAACAAGCTTCATCAACAACAGAGGCCATGTTTTCTGAGTGGTCCGAGTGGAGTCTATATAACAACAGCCTGTAGCTGGGATTAGCTTAGAGGAGTTCAGAGTTCAGTTCTGTATGGGAGGCTGTGAAGAAGAGTCAGTTGCAAAACTGCACCTGTGAAGAGAAGACTTTATGTGTAATATTTTGGAGTGGGTAATTTTGTGAGACTGTTATAGTTCCTGTGTTTTAATTCCGTTACCAGGAAACAACTTGTGTGCATGCATGTGCGTGTGTGTATAGGAGTGAATTATAAAGTGTAGAAATAGTGACAGCAAGAACCTGAGTTATGAGTCACTAAAACACATGACAATATACACACAAGTATATGTGTGTAGTTAAGAAGAAGTGAAGTTGGGGTCAGGCCATCATCAGATGTTTTCAGAACACAATATTAATCTCCTTAGTCTTGTTGCGGTATCAGCAAGTGGCCAAATAAATAGAAGTCTGGAACTGGGTGAGGGAGCAAACACCATCACAAGTTTCAACACAGTTCTGCTAGTCTTGTTATGGCAGTGGCAAGAATGGTACAGAGTATTGCTCCCAACACAACAGCTTCCCCTCATGATAATGGCATAAATTAAAGAAAAAATCTCAACAGAAGCTATGCTGAAGGGGGCCTCATCTAACACTATGCTTTATGAAGGTGCCCTAAAAGAAGAAACTGAGCCAAAATTTGGCGAAGACCATAACACCCTTGGGATTCTGATGGTGCCCATCCTTATATTGTAGCTCTCAGCAGGCTGAAGATACAAGACACACTTGACCTAAAGATTCTGCATAAACTACCACCTCTATTGTCTTCTTCATGTAGCGATCTAATTGTTGATTGCAGGGATTAATGAATACTGCAACAGATATTTAGACACACATGACTCTCACAGTACACACTAATTATTTCCTGTCATGACAGTACAGGAGATGAACACCTCTTTGGCTGCAATAATACAAATGAGATAGATTAGGGGAAAACTGAAAGATTACTGGCTCACTCCTGAACAGTTTTATATCCTATATTACAGGTAAATTCTGAAATGCAACCTATTTTTTCATATATTCAGATTTCTATATTTTTCTTTAGTGTATGCATCAACCTTAATATTCACATCAAATATCTGCTTTAATCCAATGACAAATGAAGAAACATACATTACAAAAAACATTTAAAAATAAATTAATAAATAGAAACTTCAATACTCTTTCATTTCTTGCTTGTGCCTCACACTTAAAGTCTACATCTGTGATTTTTTGTTTGTTCTTTTTTTGGGGGGGGGGTTCTCTTTGGCATGATTTTACTTAATGTAGATGGTAGGAATCTAAGGCAATTTTCCATTTCAATGTGCAGAATCTTTGGATAGGATTCTATTCTGCCAATCACATTCAGTTTGTCACTTCTTTTCAATTCCTATCACTAATTCAATTTTAAAACTCACTGAAAAATGCATAGAAATTACACATATGCAATTAAATACAAATACAGTCACGCATTAGTGACTAGACACAAGGGTTGGATCGGCAATGAGATTTATTGAACACTTACAAATCATAAATATAAGTAATTATAATGCTCTCACTAATTTGCACATGCTACTTCTCATAAGAGTCTTCTACATCTTCACTAGCTGTTGCCTGGTAATATATCCTAACAATGTCCTCTGCTTATGTTCTTACTGGCTGGTGACTGTCTAACAACGAATTAACTCAACTGTCAACTCTCAACTAGTTTGTCCCATTGATTCTCATTAGCCTCTGATCAAACCATACAAAAAACCTCTCAACAGTTCTATTCTTGCATGTGCATCCCTTCCGTTGTTTATTTAGCCAGTGCCTTGCAATGGACTACGTAATCATGTCACAATACCGATTCTTAAATACAGATTTGTATACATATACTGCAAACAATACACAGTGCACAGGTGATAGCACAACCTCCAAGAGGATACATTAGATGCAGAACTGCATGCCTCCTTCCTGCTAGTTGCTCAAGGTCAATGAACACCCACATGTTGCTTACTAACTGACATGATCATTAACCTTGAGAAAACAGTAAAATGTAAAGTTGTCCCTGCACTTAAATAATTAAGATCATGCCATGAAGACATATGATGGTGTGGGGTCGTTATTAATGTTCACCACACGTGCTTGCTATGTTCCCACAGTGGAATGGAGGTATAGCTCCGCCATGCTTGACCTCAGCACTAAAAGGTGAGTGCTCAACTTCATACCCCCAAGGAAAGAGCCCCCAGAACACATCGTATATGAAGCTGGGTGGGACCTGGAGCAAGTCTGCATGCTGTGGAGCAGATAAAAATCTTACCCCTGCCAGAAATTGAACCCCAGCCAACTAGCCCATAGCCCATCCCTGTACTGACTGAGCTATGCTGACTCCCTCTGTACAAACTGTAACATGCATAAATCAGAGGTGGGCAAATTATGGCCCTTGCATGAGGGTATGGATTTCATGTAGAGACTGAATTTCCATCATCAAATATGGGTAAGTCACTAATCATGAAATAGTAAAACAGGATAATTTATGCATTGCTTTGCTGAGACTCCAAAAATAAACACTACATGAGCTAAAACCTTATATAGGAATCACATTGTATTTTATATTATTTCAGGTATCTAAAGAAACATTTTAAAATAGTGCTTTTATACCAGTATAGAAAACCCTCACTATAGAATTCATCAATGCATTTTCTTTCAAATACTTTCACTAAAATACTTCAGTGGAAATATTTTCAATTCTAATACTGTAACTAGCTACCCCCACCCCAAAGTGAAGAAAGGACAAGAAAATTTGATACAAAAAACAAAAATTCAAGATACCTGATGCCCAGACAAGATTTAAATCTGGTTACTTAAATCCTGACTATATGCCAAAAGCATTAACACTTCAGCCAACTTGCTTGATCTCCTTTTGTCCATGGTTTACAAGACACCATAATACATTAAGCTACGTCATTCTTCAACAGGTGAATCAACCCCCATCCCCCACAAAACTATGTGCAAAATATGCTCCTTGTAGCTGAACGTGCTTTACATACTACAGGAACAAAAAAAAAGACTGTAAGATACAGTGTCTCTCTTACTGTTTACCTTTCATGGTATGACTGCAGCTGCAACTGACTCATTGAAAAACCCATCACTCTTCTCATGCTTCTGTACATGTAAGACACCCAAACATGTTTCTTCCCCCTTCATTTAGAGTACTAAATTGAAATGATGAAATATAAACTTAAACAATGTGTTTTTTCTGTATGATACTTATGTGAAAAAGGATCACATAAATCATGAAAAAGATTTTGCCATAAGTAACTTGATATTTGAGTTCAGCTTCAACAACAATTTTTTAATCAGTGAAGATGGTGTGTTCAACCAGGTCTTCCTTAGACAATAAATACATTAGACAGAATGCTGTGCTAACCAAGGAAAAGCTTCACAATACCCAAGCCAGATTAGAACATTCATCTCGCATATCCCTGAAACAATTAGTTCAAAAGGCACAGATTTTAATAACAAAAGCATGGAAGGAAACTAAAAGTTATGTCTGCAGCTGTATAAAATTATATGGGTTTAAGCAACTGAAAAGGGCTATTATGAAAGAAAAATGGATTTTTGTAATTGATTTTTGTATGCAGCACATGATGGTCTCACTGATTCAAAACTTACTTTTTTTTTTATTGACAAAGCTCCATTCCATCTGAATAAGTACACCAGAACAGGCATTGGAGCAGTATTAATCTGTGACAGACTTCTGAAGTACCCTTTCACAATCACATGATTGGTGTGCGGTGTGCCATTATTGCTACATGAATAGTAGGATCCACATTTTTTGGAGAACTATTAATTCAAAGCGGTAATCTGTGACAGACTTTGAAGTACCCTTTCACAATCACACGATTGGTGTGCGGTATGCCATTAAATCTACATGAATAGTAGGATCCATATTTTTTGGAGAATATTAATTCAAAGCGGTAATCTGTGACAGAATTTTGAAGTACCCTTTCACAATCACATGATTGGTGTGCGGTGTGCCATTATTGCTACATGAATAGTAGGATCCACATTTTTTGGAGAACCATTAATTCAAATCGGTACATCAATCACATTCTTCAGTCATATTTTGACAGCATTACAGCAGAAGAAAAGATACTGTTATTTTATACAAGATGGTGCTGCAGCACAGGTGTTGGAAGAAACAATGATAAGCTGCAGATTGCAGCCTGCAGTGTCTCCAGACTTAGACCCCTGCAATTTCTATCTGTGGAGGAACCTAAAAAAAAGTGTATTCAGATAATCCCCACATACTGGATAATTTTAACATTTGTGAAACAATTATATCTATTGATAACAGTAACTCAAACCAGTGTTAATCTTTTTCAAGAAACTTAAGTATGTTTAAAAGTAGGAGGGAAACATTTTGAACATCTACTGTGATGGTGAGTTCTTCTGAATAATTTATGTATTTTAAGAAATGCATATCCATGTTTGTTAAGCACCACATATTAGCCACCAATCTAGATTCTGTTCTCTTGGGAGGTCATGCCTAAGGTTCCAGCAGGTTCTAGCTAACAATAACAAAGAGGGTCAGGCGATTTGGTTCATCAAGAAAGATATTGCAAGACTCTTTTAACAATATACAGTTATACTGTCATACTAATCCATTTCATCTTTTAGATAATTGAGAAATTCAGATAAAAGGTTCTCAAAAACATTGGACTTTCAGTAACAGAGGTCAACATAAACACAAAAGCAACTGACTAGAATGTGGTACAAGTATGGAAATGAAGAATTAACAGGAGAAGAGAAAAGGAAGAAATTTTGTGGGACAAAAAATGATCCTATGTCCACTGTGCAAAGTTTCCAGAAACAAATTTTGTATAGAATATGTTAAATTAGAATAGTACTGAAATCAACATCTACTTAATTCTCAAATTTCCTCTGTGTTATAAGTACCATAAATTATTTCATGGAACTTACTATCTTCAACCATGGAATCCTATAGAACTTCTCTATTACATGAAACAGGTATAAAGCCAAAAGAATTCCAGTAAACCAAAATCCACCCATGGCCACAGTATTGAACCAGCTGCCACGCGATGTTATGGCCCCATATGACACTGTGATGCAAATAAATCCCAAAAGATTCAGCACCTGAAATACAAGAGTCATTTATCAAAATGATTACATCATCTCAGCAGAAAGAGCAGAAAAGCTATGTTTTTAACAGCTAAACTTTTGGATGTGGTAAAAAGCACAAATCTCTCACCATTATCATCACTAATTACATAACTAACCTTTCATGTGGCTTCACCACTGTATTAACCTAACATAATTTAGCTAATTAATTCCATAGAGCTGAGCTCTTCTTGAGAAGCAGCCAGTTTGGCAGCTACTCAAGAATTTCCCAACATTTTATGGAACTTGAAGGTTCACCACCATGTTCACAAAAACCCTCCACTAGTCCTATCCTAAGCCAGATCAATCCAGTCCATACCACACTATCCTATCGCTCTAAGATCCATTTTCATACTGTCCACCAACGCACATTTAAGTTTTCCTGGTGGTTTCTTTCCCTCTGGCCTTCCCACAAAAATCCTAAATGCATTTCTCTTCACCCCCATGTATGCTACATGCCCTGCCCATCTCATCATCCATGACATCATTCTAATTACACTTGGATAGACGTACAAGTTATGAAGTTCCTCCCATCACTTCATCCCTCTTTGGCCTAAACATTCTCCACAGCACTCTCCATTCATGTCAGAGACCAAGTTTCATAACCATACAAAGCCACAGGAAAATTACACTTCTCAATATTCTAATTTTTATGTTTTAGACAGCAGATGAGAAGACAAAAGGTTCTAGACTGATTGCTAGCCAGCATCAACATAATTTTCACATGGTATGTATAAAATTAAACAAATATACTTAACAATTCCTCATGAAACCTATCTATCTTTATCTTCAGTTGAGTCATACATATTTATATATCATCCTACCATTAACAAGCAGAAGCACCCATTCTTCACCCATAGTATACCTGCACTTATCATTATTACACTATATATAATAACTGAAACTTAAAAAAAAAATAATAATGTTATTAAGAAATTAAAGCTTTCATTTTAATTCACTTAGTGCGGGGTGGAGTCCAACTGGGTCCACTTGGCACAGTGGCCACTGATTGGCCTCCTGTAGCCTGCCCCGGGTGATTATGATGGAGAATTTGGTGGAATGAAGAGTGGCAGGGGAAACGGAAGTACTCAGAGAAAACCCGCCCCAGTGCTTACTCAAGTAACAAAAAGAAATGAATGAGGATAAGGATTCAAATTGCCGGTCACGGTAGCCGAGCAGTCTAAGGCATTCACTGTCTTCGCTCGCTCGGAAGCCGGGATCGTGGGTTCGAATCCCACTCAGGGCATGGATGTTTGTGTGCGTTTTTCTGTGTTTGTCTACAGGTAGAGGCCTTGTGACAGCTGATCACTCGCCCAAGGAGTCCTACTGAATGTGTAAGATCTAGTAAACCGAAGTGAAATGGAGAGTTTCGTGGAGGTAGGCCTAGGCCCAAATTGGGGCTGTAGCGCCACAGAAAAAAAAAAGAATTCAAATTGCATCCAAAAATTCTATCAAAATCCTTGACCATTGCTTTAACAATTGTGGCAACCATTCACAATGGCAAAAGTAGAGAGCAAATTTTGTATTATCCTTGGGTGTTTTACATAAGATCAGTAGCAGGAAACAGAACAGTTGCATTTTCATAAACATTAGACAAAGGCCACACCATAGCTCAAGCGGTTAGTCACTGGCTTCCCACCGCGGAGGCCCGGGTTCAATCCCAGGTCTGGTCAAGTGGGATCTGTGGTGGACAAAGTGGTGCTGGGGCAGGTTTTCTCCGAGTACCTCATTTTCCCCTGCCAATCTTCATTCCACCAAATTCTCCATCATCATAATCACCTGGGGCAGGTTACAATAGGTCAATCAGTGGCTGCTGTGCCAAGTGGACCCAGTAGGACTCCACCTCACACTAAGTGAATTAAAAAAAAAACATTAGACAAACATTACTCTCTTAACTACTATTTCAAGCTTTTTCTTTACTAAAATTCCAATGTGAAGTTCTTGGTTTGGTCTCTTCCTTACTGAAAAAGAAACATGACACCTTCCAACACTACTATAATTTTCTTGATCTGAAACTAGCAATTCCAGTCTCACCATCTGTTGGTAGGCTCAAGAATGAGTGGCTGACAAAGAAGCATTCTGAACACTGGGATGCCACACTGTGTATGAGCCAGTTGTAGGGCCTTCAGAAAAACTATCTAGGTGTTATTTTTGTTACTTCCACATGGATCGAATGATAAGTAAGAATCAGTGTTCAGTCTAACCCTGCTTTATTAAGACAGAGACTTTTGATACACAAGGGTGTCACACATATAACTATGGTATCACATAACAACAGATTCTGTTTTTACACCCACATAACAGTTAGAAATTAGGAACAGCACATGTAGCGCAGTCTGTTATTAAAATTGCTTACTACGATGCTGCCAACTCTAGCATTATATTTTAACATTAGAGACTTGCCAACATAACAATAGGGACCTTCTGGCCTCAGGCAGGAAATAAAGTAGGTTGATAACAGGATTGTTGACAACCAATGTACACTGAGACAGCACCTATGATGGGGTACCCAAAAGAAAACAAACTAATTTTTTTAAAGCAGAGCTTTTGTAGTACCGTGTTTTGCCGCTATGAGCGCATAGAGCTAACATTCCTGAGTCGATAAGCCGACTACTGTTGCTTCAGAAGGTAAGGACTAGTTTCGGCAGAGTTTATAGTGACAACTGTTTTGTGTGATCATCGTTTTTGCAATGGCTGATTTTCGTGAACAGCGTGCGGCAGTGAAATTCTGCTTTTTGCTCGGGAAAAGTGGAACAGAAACTCTTGAAATGTTAAAAACGGCGTAGAAGGACAATGCTATGGCGAAAACTCAAGTGTTTGAGTGCTTTCCTGTTTCAAAAATGGTGAAATGTCAATTGATGACAAACCTCGTTCTAGTCGTCCTTCCACGGCCCGAACACATGAAAATGTTGAAAAAATTCGTGAAATCATCAAGGAAGATCGACGACGGACCATTGAAGAAATTGTGGAGCTGTCGGGAGTGACTGGGAGCTCAGTGGCCAGATTTGTTGCAGTTGGGTGACTGGTTTTTCCATCATGACAATGCCCCTGCTCACACAGCCCTGTCTGTATGACAATTCTTGACCAAAAATGGTATGATCCCTGTTCCTCACCCTCCATACTCACCCGACCTTGCCCCGTGTGACTTTTTTTTTTGTTTCCTCGAATGAAAAAAGAGACATGAAAGGAAAAAACGACGGAGGCGCTGTCAAGCATCTCAAAAGATGAATTTAGACAATGTTTTCAAAAATGGAATAAAAGACTAGACAAGTGTATTCGTATTAGTGTAAGTGGAGAGTACTTTGAAGGGGATTGAAGGTTTGTGCTTAAAATCTGAATAAATAAGTTTAAAAAAAATAAGTTTGATTTCTTTTGGGTACCCCCTCGTACATGTTATGGGCCTCTTGGATAATACTATATGCAGGACATGGTGATGGGAAGAATCCTCCTACCAAATACTTCATCAACCCTGAACTCTGGTCAGACATAGAACAAAGATCTTCTGCTCTGCATCATTGGAACTGAAAGATATTAGTAGGGCTTCAATCAAACACGTTTTGGCTGTAGCATTCAAGACAGGGCTCTTTTGAAGGGCCTTTGTGAAAATAAGGAAACAAAATGGACACAATAATGGTCTGGGTGGCTGGAGTAACAAGAAGTCGTCTGCCGCCCCCCCTCCCAAATAAATAATCAATACCCAGGCTAATATCAGGTAACCTGATACCCTGTAGCTGCAACTATATCCAGATAAAATTTTGTTACATTGGTAACCAGTGACTCCTAAGCAAATTCCAAAATCATCAAACCAGTTGGGAATACAACATTGGGAATCTGAAACTGACTGCCCACAATATGCATAAATTAAATAATTATAATTATTTACCTTCTGATAATTATCAGAAGGTAAATTCTTTGGTGAATGAAAGTACATTATACATCCAACTTTATGCTTCTGTTTTTCATCTTACACATAACACTACAAACAAACTTATGTAAGTGCCCAAATAACATCAACAGGTACAATTTTGTTTCTTTACATTGATGAAATTGTATCAAATGAGTTACTCACAATTTGTGCAACTTTCAGCATCCCTGGGATGGTTCGAACATAAAGAGGGTCATAGCGAATATTTGTCTGCACTGTTGTATTTGATGAGGTGACTGTGGTAGTAGTATGCTGATCAGGAAATCCTTGATCTGCCATTCTCTTGTTCTATATTTCAGATTACCACCTTGACGGGTATATTCCTCACCATGAACCTAAAAGATCAAAGTAAAAAAAGGTAAAGTTGTCCTTGTGCTCAACTAATTAAACACTTTGCCATGAAACCGTAATCAAAGTAGGTCATGGTAAAAATCGGAACCTGTATCTCCAAGTTTCTTGCTATACGTCTCAACTACTTACAACCACAATAATTATATAACACGATTTTCATCTAAATAATTAGTATCCGAAGTCCGGGCAAGTGAAAGTCACTAGTGTATCAACGAATGTTCATCAGTTTGTATCATCGCTGAAAATAGGTATACGCCTCCTAAAAAGGGAGCGGTCACTATATCGTTACAGGTACTTTCATACTCCACTCTAAATGACGAATAGTATCATATTCTTTGACAGATTTCAGGTTACCATACACTATAAATCTTACCGGTATTTCCGATCACTAAACGTCACTCTCGGATTTTAAAAACACAAAATTCCAGTACTCTGCAAGCACAAGCATTTCCTCATCGATCTGTCATACTCGACAAATATTGCAACGGATCAGTGGGGCAAACTGTGAAAAGTCAAATTTTCTACTCCTTATACCACATTTCCCTGAAAGAAATCAATATTACTATAGTCATCCACAGAATAGCTTCGTACTGTTTACCTCGAAAGTTCATCTCTGATAGCAGGTTGCGCTGTAAAACTAGTACTTCTGGATCTTCTGGATCACGAATTGCCAACATTATTCCCTCACTCACGGAGCTGAGCCCTTCTTGAGAAGCCTCCAATTGTGCAGCTACTCAAGATATTCCTAGCATTTTATGGAACCCGGAGGTTCATTACCGTGTTCACAAGAGCCCTCCACTGGTCCCTATCCTGAGCCGGATCAGTTCAATCCATACCATCCCATCCTATCCTATCCTATCTCTCTAGGATCAATTTTACTGTTGTCCACCCACCTACACCTTGGTCTTCCCAATAGTCTCTTTCCTTCTGAATTTCCAACCAATATCTTATATGCATTCTTCTTCAACATTCATGCTACATGCTCTGCCCCCCTCATCCTCCTTGACTTGATCATTCTAATTATACTTGGAGAAGAGTACAAGTTATGAAGCTCCTCATTATGCAGTTTTCTCCAACCTCCTGTCACTTCATCACTCTTTGGTCCAAATATTCTCCTCCACACCCTGTTTTCAAACACCCTCATTCTATGATCCTCACTTAATGTCAGACACCAAATTTCACACCAATACATAACCACAGGCAAAATTATTTAAAAAACTCCATGGCCTGTAGTACACAAGCAAACTATACCGGACAATCGACCGCCACTTGTTGGCGAAGTTAGTGCCAACTTTTGCAGATAGAGGGTGTCACGAGGTCAGCACAACGGATCCCCCCAGCCGTTAATCTCAGGTTTCTAAACCGGAGCTGCTATTTCCTTGAAATTGCTCTTCTATTATCCTCATGAGGCTGAATGGACCCCATTCCAGATCCCCTGCGTCTCAGAAAATCTGGTAGCGCCAGGTCTGGCTGCCAAAAGAAAGCTCCCTACCTGTCCTGGAAATCAAAAGTCCAGCAATCAACCACTGCCAGATATTTTCTGACACAAATCACTTTCTTCTCCAGACTTCCAAGAGGTGAAATGTCAAATCCATACTGATATATGTACACATATATATATATACATACACAAATTACTGATTAGTTATGAATTACAAACTTGTTTCTCCAAAACATCCTTCAAAGTTCTAAATATTCACAGCAATATATTCATCAAAATTGACCAAATCTTTGACTGGACAAGTGGATTTCCCATCACGACAATGCAAGTTTCTATGCAGCTCTAGTACAGAAAATTTTCACAAAAAAAATGAAAATGTCGAACACCCACTTTACCCATCAGATTGGCCCTGTGAGACTGTTTCATATTCCCAAAAATAAAGGAATTCTTGGAAAGGTCTTACTTTGAATTACTTTTAAGACATTCAGAGCCATGTATTGACAGTCCTGAAAGGATACTTCTGAAAAATTATCTAAAGCAATGTTTCCAATAATGGCAAATATTTTAATGTGCTCACAAAACCAGAAATCAAGTACTTTGAAAGTGACATGTTCTAAGAATTTCAAGTTAAAACGCTGTAAATGTAAATCTTGCCTTCAGATCATTCACACTGATTATCTGAAGTTGAAATTCTTATGTGACATATTATTGGGGCATGTGGTAGCACAGTTGATTGAGGCATTATGCAACAAGCTGGAAGGTCATAGGTTCAGTTGAGGTAACTGGATTGTTTCAATTGATCTAATCCTTCCAACCACACTATGGCCCTGGAGTCTACTCAGGCTCTAAAAGAAATGAGTACCAGGAATCTTCCTGGGGGTAAGGCGCAAGCAGAACATAAGGCTGAATGTCTAGAAAACGTGGGGGCCTCAACATCTCACAACCCTGTTGGGCCTCCACAGCCTGTTACAGGGATAGCTTTACCTTTTTTTTTATTTACCTTTATGTGACATGATTTATTTCAAAATTCAAATTTGTCATTTCCAGGTATGTGTAGGGGTATCCATCCATAATAATCAAAATCAAAATAATCTTACATCTAAACACACTTGTAAATAAGATAGTTTAACACTTTTATAACTTAATGATTAGCATTTAACTTTAACCAGTTATATCCAGTTACTATCGTTACTATCCTTGCATGCCTCTTTATGTACTTACAAGCACATCTGGAGTTAACACCTTAATTTACCATCATATAAAAGTGATAGTCTTGTTTGGCTATATGTACTTCAATTACAAAGAGTAATGGGGTTTTAAAGCCAAATGAGACTGATTATACCCTGACTTCACTGACTTCCCAAGAGAATGTCAGTCCACATTTTGTGGGTGACACTAAAGATTCTAGCAGGGTTCTCAATCAAGATCGAAATTTAGACACGACTAAAATTATGCCATCACGAAGACTCCGAAAACCACCCTCTAAAAGAAGGGATGATTTTTTATGGGTGGTAGACAGCAAAATAAAAACATGACTCATATAAAGGCAGATAATATACAAATCCTCCATCATAATGTGCAGAGCTTAAAAAATAAAATACTGGAACTAACTGTTTTATTACAATCTGACCTAAAAATGTTGATATATTGTGTTTTACTGAGCATTGGCTTAAGGAGGATCAGTTAGAATTAACAAATATTGAGCATTTTAAACTAGTAAGTAAGTTTAGTAGAACTAGTTATGAACATGGTGGTTCATGTATATATGTAAAAGAGTATGTACAAACTACAGAACTACTCCACTTGCAAAAATTAGGTTAGGAAAAAGATTTTGATGTCCATAGTGGAATTCTTGAAGGACAAAATAGTTGTTGTGTGTATTTATAGGTCACCAGATGGTGACTTTTACATGTTCCTAAAAAATTTGCAAGTTGTAATCCAAAATGTGCAGTTGAAAAAGAAAAAACTAATTTCATGTGATGACTGGAACATAAACTTCTTAGATGACAATGTAAGAGTATGAGAATTAAAAAAATTGCTTCGGTTGTCTAATTTGGCCAACATAATTACATCCCCAACCAGGGTCACAAAAAATTCCTTAACACAGAAGATGTCATAGTAACAAACAAGCAAGTTTTGGAATGCACATCATTGGTATTGGACTTGGGTTATTCGGACCACTTGGCACAAACACTAAAGATTAATGTAAATAGATGAGAGAGGGGTCCTAAAATGAGCAGAAAAAGACAGTTTACTAAAGAGAGTATTATTTATTGCAGGAGTTATGGCAAGAGAGTTTTTTCAAACTATTTCGGTTTGCTGGCTAGGCCAGCGAAGGAATGTGTTTTTTTGATGGTTATGTGAAAATTAACATGCGTGAACAGTGAACTGAAAAACTTTAATAGAAAACTAGTGAAGCTTATGAAGCCATTCAAGCATGTTAAGGCGGTAAAAGTAGATCCCAAAAGGGAAATTTTTACTAAACATGGTCCGCATATGAACAATGTGGGTAAAGAAAAAGCAGTGTTAAAGACAGCTAATGATGTTACTACAACGTTTCAAAAACAAATATAACCAATCAGATTGTACTGGAAAACTGAATATGATGGGGTAAATTATACTTCAAGTAGGGGATAATATAATTACACAAGAAGATACTAAAACTGCCACATCACACAACGAAGAAGTTATCTCACGTTGTGGACCAAGAGGTTCCGGTAGAAGTAGGCAGAATATCAGATGGTAGGACCTCAAGTAGGCAAAATAAAACCACCATCATGAGAAGCAAGGATTTTTTATGGCAGAAGTAATTTCAAATAGACAAAAGCACATTGTATTTGAACAACTACGTAATCAGTCATGTAAAAAGAATGATGATATAAATAACCTATTTAAGTTATTTCAGAAAAATATTAGGGGAATAAAAGGGAAACTTAATGAGTTAATGATATTGTGACGTATTTGAGCTATGCAGGACAACCCCTCCTCCGCCAATGGTGATGTAACAACGGAGCGTTGCCGCTGCTAAGGTAAAAGGCCAGTAAACTCTCTGCCCCCTCCACCGTGGTGACGTAACACCATTTCCCACTGTGACACAAGAGGGGACACCACTGTAAAACAAGGCAACAGCAAACAGTATAGAAAGCCAGCTGAGCAGTATGTGGAGAGAGTGTGAGATCAAGAGTGACACAGTGCAGATCGTGAAGTCACTGAGTGCAGCAGAAATCTAGCAGTTGCCGAGAGCAGTGGATGTAATTGTGATACTGCCAATGGCAGTAATTGAACTTGTGAACTGTGTTAAGTGTACGAGCAAATGTGGAATAAATTTGCTATATTCAATACGGCGTGAAGTTATTTATCGCATTATACACCCAACACGTGACAATATCTTTATTAAATGAGGAACCCAGTGTAATTTGTCTTAACAGAACATCATCTAACGGACTATGAAATGGATGCTTCACATATTCCTAAATATAAATTAGGTGCAAGATATTGTAGGAAGAAGTTAAAAAATGGTGTCTGTATATTCATCGATGATGATCTAAATTTTACTACTATAAATCTACAAAAATATTGTAAGGAACGAGACATGGAAATTGTGGCCATTCAATTAAAACTTAATGAGAAAAAGGTAATTGTTCTCTGCATATACAGAGCCCCAGCTGGCGATTATGACTATTTTTTAAACAAACTGGACTATATACTTAATTTTCTTCATAGGTATAACTCAGAATTTATATTATGTGGGGACATAAATATTAATTATCTAGAAAATAATAATATGAAATCGAAGTTAGATGACATGTTAAATACTTATAATCTAAGGGATACTGTATATTTCCCTACAAGAATTGCCATTAATTCAGCCACTCTGATAGATAATATATTTATTTAAGACAGAAGTAGTTATACCATTAAACCATGTATTAATGGACTGTCTGATCGAGATGTACAGCTCATAACATTTAAGAATCTTACTGTACCTAATAATATATTTGGATCTATCATAGCTAGAAACATTAATAAAAATAATATACCTGAATTTCAAATTTTATTAAGTTGGGAACAGTGGGATATTTTTGGGAATAATAATGTTAATATGTTTAACAACTTCCATAATACTTATTTAAGATGTTTTACGCCTGCTTCCCAAAAAAGGAAATCAAATATAATATTATTAACAATAAATGGATTATAAAAGAGATAATGACCTCATGTAAAAGAAATAGATTAGAATTATAATGAATTCTAGATGAAGGGGACTTGTAGGGATATTTTTAAGAATTTGGAAATAATGAAGTTCTACTGTCAGCAGATATATTCATTACTTTTATACACAACTAATAATAAAATTTTATTTAAATTAACAATGAGATTCACAAATACAAAACTAGAGCCCTCAATTACTTATATTTACCTGCAGTTAACCTAACAAAGTACAATAAAGGTGCATACATAGCAGGTATTAAAGTTTTTAGTCAAACAATAAAAATGTTGGCTACTGATATCAGAAGTTTTAAATCTGCATTGAAGAGGTTTCTATATCATCATTCTTTTTATTCCACAAATTAATATTCTCAATATAATTGGTCATAAGTGTGTAAATTTTTAATGTATTTAATTCAGTTAATATAGGTAATTTTAATAAAATTGTATTAATTCAAGTTTCATAGTAAGTTATTTTTAAATTATGTTTATTAACTAAAATTTTATTAATTTTTTACTTTATATTATTATTTATGTTAATCAAGTAACATAAGTGATTTTAATTATGTGACTTGTGTAATTTTGTATATGTATCTTGATATATCTATTTTCAAAGGGACTATTTCCGCATCCTAGGTTTGTTATCTGTATGGATATATGGGAAATAAAGGAAATGAATGAATGAAACATTCTTAAAAAAAAATACCACTGATTACTGCCACAAATACTGAGACCAGAAAAGTTGTTAGTCTATGAATTCTATTATCTCTTCAGACTTTGATTTTTCACGGGCATTTTCATCACCTAGTACTGATTCATATAACATTTTGAATCATTCTTCTTCTTCCTTTTATTTTCCTTCTTCTTTCTCTGTGTAACTGATAAGTCTGGGAGAAAATCTCTTACTAATTTTACCATAGTACTGTATAAACCAGCTACTGAGGGAGAACATTTTAAAAGTTGAGTCAGGACATAGTCCTCAACATCTGAATGTTTCTTGAAGTTCAGATATGCATTATAAATTAAAGTTCCTGAATAAAAGTTTTCAACTTGACATTGTATGAAAGGTAAGCTAAGCAGAGAATTGAGGTGCATGACATGAAGCAAGCAGCTCTGAAACTGGGCAAATATGTGCACCACACTCACACAAAACAGCAATGGTCTACTCTTCAGGCACTCATCCATCTTGTGATATGGTAATATGGTTTCAACTAAACAAAAACAATCTTCACTGGACACTGTTGCCACAGCTTCTGTCACTGTAACACAGCTAATGTCTTTATGACTGGGCAGATTATTTTCAAACATTTCTAACTGTCCTGTTTTGGCACTCTGAAATGTACCACTGCCTGTTTTGTATTCATTTTCTTTCACGCTCTGTAATTTAACAACTTTCTGAAGTTTGGTTCCATTCAGTTTCAAGAAAGTCTTCTTTGACCTACAGTATCCTACATGTCTATCAACAATATTCAAACAAATTATGCTAAATAATACTGCATGAATATGATGCTCTGTAAGCGATGGTTCAGACACATTCCTGCCCCAGTAAATCAAGGCAACAATAAATATTTTCCAATCATCTGGAAAACCTTCCAAAATAAGGATGTCATTAACATTAAAACCCATGGCATCATATAGCAGGTGTCTCCTAGCAGATAATGCTAGGTCAGGTAATTCCTCCAATGGGGGAAACTCATTCAGTGAAGCAGTACCATATACGGGCAACACAATAAGAGTCTGGGGCTGAGCATTTTCTTTATATGCAACATAGCATAACTCTGGTTTATGTGTAGCATTTCCAGCTGTCAGAAGGCCAAATATAACACACAGGATTGGAAGACTAATTCTGTGGGAGAATGGTAATGAGAAGTCCTCAACCTGAGGTGCAGAGAAGTGGATCTGATGAACAAGCATATTGATGAAACATCGTGGAAGGTTTCCACAATGTAAGTTGTCCTTGAACCAATCAGGAAATAAATTTTGTGGCAGCATATCTATACCACACCGAAATGGTTTATAACATTCTCCATTGCTTTTCATTTCCTGCTTGTCCTCATTTTCAGTAACAGCAGACTGGTGTGAATTGGTGTCACTTTCTGAATCACAAATTGAGTGGAATACAGAATCCTTCCTTTCCACATTTGCAGTAGCAGTAGCAGTGACAGAGTTGCATCTTAATTTTGAATAGCCTTCCACTGATATATCCAAGTAGCGAAATAAACTACTTGAACTTGTACTGTAGCCAGCTATTATTGCCTTCAATTGTTTTGCAACACTTTTACGCTGACTTTTCTTAACATGGTTAAGGATCTGGAAAGAATGAAGAAAAATGTCTACAAAATACATATCTTACAGGCTCATATGGAAGAACAGTATGATAAAAAAATAAGCTGCAAGGATGTGAAGTGGGACCAATGGTGGGCATTAGTGTTACATGAGCTACACCTTAAGGTACTACTGCTAATGATATATGAATAAGAAAACATACACTGGAATATAAGAATCCCCACATAGCAATAACATTGTAAGGCTCAAGTCTGGGCTTCTATGTACATGAGGAAATCTGATCATAAAACCATAATCAATACTTCTGATTCTGCAAAGCTACTACCATATCATCCATAAACATGAAAAAAGCCAAAGAAATTCATGCACCATCATTAAATCATGGATTCAAAAATTATTAAAAAATTCATACATAAAAAGATTAGCATGTCTTGTTAAGAAAAACAGCCAAGACTAATATAAGTACTTCAGGTCCCTACTAGGTTTAAGAGAAAAGCTAGGTATCGGTTAACATATTGAAAGTAATCCTGAAGTCTAGGCTGGGTCACTTGAATTTTGAAAATTTAAGGCTGTACTCAACTTCCAATCTATCTGATTTGTTTCATTCTGGTCTGTCACGCTAATAATATCATGAAAAATTAAACAGTTCCGTCTAGTGTGACTGGTGAAGATTTTTCTCATTTCAATTATCTACACCCTTACACGTTTCGGTCTTCAGAGACCATCATCAGAGGAACACCTTTACTTCAATACAGTTAGAGGCCACTATTACAATACATGTTCTAAATGTTAAAATGCATACACACAATATTAATAATATATTTTGGGTTTAAAATATAAAGTCTTTACAACTATAGCGGCTGTTAAATACTGTCGCATGTTGGGTATGTCACGCGACAAATACCTTCAAGCCATCAAGGGTGTAGTGAATATTTATTGTGCTCACCTTCTACACTCACATACTTCACAATTATTATCACTTGCAGTATCACAATTACTGCTTCCACTATATCTCGGTGAGTACTAGACTTCAAGTGCCTTCGACGGTGACTCTCTTAAGACTGACTTCTGGCTCAATACTTATATTGTCTTCTGTGGCTGCGACATCTCAAATGTCCTTGGCCACGGCTGGATCTCAACTAACTTGGAGAATATCTTCAACCCTTTTTATAACCTCGGCTGCTGCTATGCAATGAACCCTCTAACAGTTCATTGTAACCGTGGAGACTCATTGTTAGAATTATAACACTGCATTTTTCTGTCTAGGAAGTAGGTCGTTACCTAGGAAGTGTTGTCCATTGTCTAGCAGTGGCTGTTTGGGATAATGTGTTCTTCAGCACATTACAATATGTTAAAATATTTATGATTCATTTGTTAAGATTCCATTGGAATTCAAACACAAAGCAGGTTCATGTCCACCCTCTTATTATTTCTTTTTTGACAGGGCCGAATGTGTGCCATCTTTTGGCTCTTGAGAAGAGGGTTCTGCAAATATATTATGGGTATATCGTATTGTTTCAGAAATCTGATTATGTTTTGTAAAAACTTTTGTTATTTCGTCCTACATTTGATGTTGTCCTGTATGTGTTTGTGGTACCCTGTGTTGTTTTTACTGTTCTAGGGTGTGTTGTACTGCGTGTTTATACTCCTTGTGTCTATGACGTTAGTGTGGGCATGTACTGTTGTTGTTTTATGAGGTCGAATATGTCATACTGGTTATCACTTTCCTTTGTGTTTTTTTTGTTCTTCTGTCAATTAATAATATCTATTAATAAGCTCAACAAATTGACAGAAGAACAAAAAGACACAAAGGAAAGTGATAACCAGTATGACATGTTCGACCTCATAAAACAACAACAGTACATGCTCACACTAACGTCATAGACACAAGGAGTATAAACATGCAGTACAACACACCCTACAACAGTAAAAACAACATAGGGTACCACAAACACATACAGGACAACATCAAAGGTAGGACGAAATAACAAAAGTTTTTACAAAACATAATCAGATTTCTGAAACAATACGATATACCCATAATATATTTGCAGAACCCTCTTCTCAAGAGCCAAAAGATGGCACACATTCGGCCCTGTCAAAAAAGAAATAATAAGAGGGTGGACATGAACCTGCTTTGTGTTTGAATTCCAATGGAATCTTAACAAATGAATCATAAATATTTTAACATATTGTAATGTGCTGAAGAACACATTATCCCAAACAGCCACTGCTAGACAATGGACAACACTTCCTAGGTAACGACCTACTTCCTAGACAGAAAAATGCAGTGTTATAATTCTAACAATGAGTCTCCACGGTTACAATGAACTGTTAGAGGGTTCATTGCATAGCAGCAGCCGAGGTTATAAAAAGGGTTGAAGATATTCTCCAAGTTAGTTGAGATCCAGCCGTGGCCAAGGACATTTGAGATGTCGCAGCCACAGAAGACAATATAAGTATTGAGCCAGAAGTCAGTCTTAAGAGAGTCACCGTCGAAGGCACTTGAAGTCTAGTACTCACCGAGATATAGTGGAAGCAGTAATTGTGATACTGCAAGTGATAATAATTGTGAAGTNAGCACAACTCGCAACTACAAAGCATGCACACACAACAGGTCGTTTCCGGTTATTTTTGGGCCCCCCTCGTATACCCATAAAATATTTGCAGAACCCTCTTCTCGAGAACGACAAGACGGCACACATTCAGCCCCCATCAAAAAAGAAATAATAAGAGGGACGACATGAACCTGCTTGGTTTATGAATTCCAATAGAGTCTTAACAAACAAATCATAAATATTTTAACATACTTAATAGCTGCTGTAGTTGTAAAGACTTTAGATTTTAAACCCAACTGTATATTATTAATATTGTATGTACACATTTTAACTTTTAGAACATGTATTGTAATAGTGGCTTCTAACTGTATTGATGTAAAGCTGTCCCTCTGATGATGGTCTCTGAAGACCAAACCTTGTAAGGGCATAGATAATTGAAATAAGAAAAATATTCACCAGTCACACTAGATGGAACTGTTTAACTTTTCATGATTCCAATCTATCAGTTCAACATTTACAGATGTTGCAACAACAGTGTGGGATATTAAACTGATGCAATAAACAGGCTTACCTTTTTAACAGCTGTCTCAACAGTTTCTTTCCTTAACCATTCAGAGAGTCCCATAATTTGCCGTTGAGTTTTGCTTACAGAATGATTCTTTGGCAATTGAATTTGTGACAAGAAGTGTTCAAACACTTGATGCTCAATATAGTCATTTCCCAGCAAAGCAGCCATCACAGGAAGCATGGATTTGTCCAAACCACCATGAGAATCAAGAAATTTCTCTATGTTGTAAATCTGACAGTTGATATGGTTCCTCATATGCTTATCATATGCAGAATCATACTGTGTTGGCTCCAGAATGACAGTAGAGAATGAAATGTACAGAACATCATACACATAAAAATCTGAATCATAACTAAGAACTGGACATCCAAGTCTTTGAGCTATGGCCGCAATCTCAGAGTCTGCCTCAAAGTCAGACTGAACAAAACGGATCTGCATGCTCATTAACACATTTCTGAAAACCTCATTCATGAAGAGTGGAAAACATTTCAATTTGGACTGTGTTACAGGAGTAATAATTTTAGCCACTAAAAGTCTCCTTTTCAACCTGGCATGAACAGTGGGTAATTTTCTTGTTTCATATCCACCATCAAAGACTACCAGTGAAGTGACATTACAACTCTTTAGGAGAGAAAAAAAATCTTTCACACAATTGGCATATTCATCATAATCCCCACCAAACACACAATTACAATTGGATACACAGTTGTAAAGCTGTGATGCTAAACTGTTGCCATCAATAACAATGTAACAGTCTTTCAGTTCATGTGGCTCCAGGTACTGGTCCGAGTGTTTCGCTATGTAACTAGTTAGTCCTCGAACACCCATTTCTGAAAATAAAACAGCAGTGTTCACCAGAATACTGAAAATAGCATCAATGATAATTCACACCCTCTTAAGCTTGTACACAATGCTGAGCAACAGAATATTTAATAATCAATACTTCAGACTAATGGCTATTGACAGTGACTTATAATGTGACTGATAAAATAAATATCATAGTGAAGTACGCTAAATCTGAAACATGGGTCTACCATTTACTATAGCACAGATATATCAAACACAGTACTCAAGAATTGTATGCTATTATTCAGTTCAGAATAGTTTATCTTGCCATCTCCTCTTTTAATGCCCAAAGATCCAAATATATAAACCACTATTTAGCCTACCTCTCATTTTTAGGAATAAAACACATTTACGATATTTGGAATCAAACAACTCAAAGAAAATGTTTTCACCCAACAAAACAAAACAGCAGCACAATGGTGAGAAGTACATGATGAAGAGCTGTCATCTAATATTGTCTTTACATCACAAAATGAACAGTACAAAACATACATGAGGAAAACAAGTGCATATAAAATGCTGACTGGAAAACCTCAAGACAAGATATAATTCAGAAATACGTACATATGATGATAACACGACATAGATCTTAAAGAAATAAGGTTGGAAAGATGTGAATTTCTGTAGAACAGGGTCCACTGGTGGGCTTCTGTGAACATGCTAAACCCCATAACCAATTAAATAAAACTCCCTGGAACAGACCAAGTATGTTGGCATAGAGGTAAAAAAAGTAAAAAAAGAAAAAGTAAAGCTATCCCTGTAACGGGCTGTGAAGGCCCATAGGGTTGTGAGATGTTGAGGGTCCCACATTATCTAGACAATCGGCTCAAAGATGGTGGTAAGGTTGTCAGTCTTACACACCGGCCGCACTTTACTCCCCAGGAAAATTATTTAATTAATTCCTGGTACTCATTTCTGTTAGAGGCTGAGTCAACCCCAGGGCCATAATGCAGCTGGAAGGTTAAGGTGAATTGAAAAAATCCAGTGACCTCATTGGGACTTGAACCTGAGACCTTCCGGCTTGTGGCATAGTGTCTCAATAAACTATGCTACCACGTGCCCCGTTGGCATAGTGGCATCACTCTAAAAGTGTATTCAGGTGGTGTTCGGTTCAGATCTTAGCTGGGCCACTGACTATATTCACTGATATCTTTCATGGTTTTCCTCAGTCCCTCCAGGCAAATGCCAGGACAGCACCTAAATTAGGCCATTATCATGTCCTTCCAAATCCTTTCAATTCATTACTGATCAATCCTACCATTAGATGCTATATAATCCAGATACTGAAAATGTCATAAAATAAACCATGACTCATCTATGGAGCTTACATTCATTCAGCTAGTCAAGAACTTCCTTGTCATTTATGGAACCCAAACATGAATTGCCATGTTCATAAAAGCCCATCACCAGTTCTCCTGTGTCAGATGAATTCAGTGCACATCTTCCCATCCCATTCCTTTTAAAATCCACTTAATACTGTCCTGCCATCTATGTCCTAAGCTTTTTCTCATCTCTTACATGCATGCTACATCATCCTCCTTGCTTTGACCATACTAATATTGGGTAAAAATTATGAAGATCTCCATCATGCAACATCTCCAGCATCCTCTTCCCTCCCTTCCTATTAGGTCCAGATATTCTGCCCAGCACTCAGTCTACAACTTCCCTTAAAGGGAAAGATCAACAGTTTTGTGAATCATGCATTTTTAGACATGGCACAGGAAGACAAAAGGTTTTGAAATGAATGGTGGCAAGCAGTCTCCCAATTTAAATCGATTTTAATTCTTTGAATTCTGGTTTGCTACTGTCCCTCCAAAATCTCTGAACTCTGCTACATTTTTAAGGCTTTAATAAATACCTTCATATTGCAACTTCATCCTGTGTACTAATGATGAGACATGAACCTATACAGGTACTCCGCCCTGGCCAAAAAATGTGATTTCATTTTAATGCGACCAGGTTTCAATAAACAGCTCTCGCTTTAATGCAAAGTACTTAGTGACCAACCTAGAGAGATGGGGAGAGTATGAGTAGATTATGGTTTGCAGACGAGGAATTCAAAGGTAGATTGGAAAATTATCTTTGATTTATGTGATTTTACCTTCTGCAACTTTCTAGAACACTACTATCATACAAACTGAGGAATATTTATACACAAGTTTTCTCTGTGTTTACTTCTAGACTAACCTCCCTACTAGCAATTTATGCAGTTTCTATTTGTACTTTTTTATTTCTGGTATTTATGTTTACAGCCCATAAATTAACACCATCAGCAGAGGCTAGATGTTCATGTCCCATTCAATTCTGATCCTTATGTTTTCCTTAGACCTTTCTAATGGCACAGTCTATATATATATTCTTGTATGTGGTCTGTTAACTAAGTATGTGGAATTTATGTGGGCCTACGTAGTTACTGATGTACCATATAGTGATTTCATAACAAAAAATATTTCAGGCAAAGAGCAATTTTAGCTGCCTCCATATATATAGTAAAACTGTGTTGCAGTTGAGATTCTTATGGTGGTGACCATGAGTAGACATCTTCCAAACTGTAAGACCTGGTAATTCAGACAGAAACCAATATTTCGGTGGAACATATCACCTCCATCTTCAGGGTCGAAGAGTAAACCAAGCAGAACACCAGCAAACGAAAGATGCTGAGTGAACTTAGAATGGAAGATCTGGTCAGATATAAGTACACTGTAACTGTTTGGCAATTTTTGACAATGAAATTATATTTGTATATGAAATTTAACTATTGCAGTGTCTTTTGTTCTTGGGAAATGTTCTGTACCTATTTTATTTCCGCATATTTTAATATAATATACTGTACTCTGATTTGTCCTACGCCCTACTTTCTGCGACCTATGAAATGAATCTATACTACTCTGCTCTACCTACTTGCTTACACGTTGACACCAATCATTTGGGTTGTTTGATATTTTCACGCTTCCAAAGTATATAACACACACGTATCAGCTACATAGCAACACATGTATATCCCGGCCGGTTAAAAATACGCTTTATAACCATAAACTAGTAAAATTGGCTGTTCTGTCTATTTAGAAAAAAAGGGCGATATTGCTAGTTCTATCCAGAATATCTTGTTTAATCCGCCAATCTTCTTTTCTCCCGTCAATGTCCTGCTCGAAATGCTTGAGATTCAATTGAGCCTGAAACATCTCACGTGCAAATGAAAGATTATTTCACACAAGTAACTGCTTGCTTTAAAACTGTAACGAAGATGACAACACTCACGTGGCTCACGTGTGGAGGATACTCGGAATTGAGCATTCGACACCGAAGAACGACTTTAAGTGAGTGTCAATATTGGCAACAGATGGCGATCGACTCGCGACTGTTGCGGAATCTTCAGCATCGACGTATATCGACTATTATCGTTCCATCCGGGCACCAAAATGCATACTAATTTTTAATCTGGAGGCGTCACCCTGACATCTGAATCCTAAATAATTAAGAAGTACTGCCTTTTGGGGTTTGAAATCGTGTAATCAGGTAGATGTACACCGACGCTGCTTTAGGGTCGAAGATACGAGTCAGCTGGCAGCTTGCTTACGTAGCATATCAACATATCATAGATATGAAACTAGAGGCAGTACGTTCTTCCTAAACGTAGGTAAAATTCTATCGGACTGCACGGCATTATATCCTGTGAAAGCCTTGAATCCGGCATCTAAATATTTACTAAAGTTATGTTTGTATAATATTTGTAATATTCCTTTATTCTACATACAGAATAATTAAATCTACGTGCTTCAATATAATAAATGCTGAATCAAACTAGTCGATATGAACTGTATAACATAGTAATTCAATTACTAAATCTAACATCATCAAAACTTTTAACAGATCTATTGCTTACCATAGGTAAACATGTTTTTACAAATCCAAACGTTGAAGCTGTAACCGACTCTTGAAAGTTCATCTCGTTTTTGTCACTGTTACGGCTGTAGCTGAGACTGGGAGGTCCAGGGCGGCGCCCCTAAAGCATAAAATTAGGAGTGTGTAAACTGGAAAGAAAACGAAATTTTATGTTCTAGTCGGAAAGGGCTCCTTCCTATATGTAATCTATTACGAATAAACTAATGTGACAAGTAAGCATACTCATTCATGAAAGCGTTCACGCAACTCTACCGATTATAGGCACGTACTTAACAATAACTGATCATTTTAAAGCTACGTCATAGCTGTCCGTTCAGTGGGAAAACCTGCTGTTAAATGTGCAGTAGTTCCATTTAACGGATAAGTTACTGTGATTTTAAAATTCTTTAGAAGATTGTCATTCAGTACTTATAAATCCTAAAAACAGTATCGTATTCACTGCAGTGGTAGCCTTTGATTTGAAGTGGTCCGCAGACTATGACGTCATCAATACATTCTGGCGTTCTATGACTTTCTTACCGCCGAAATAAGATGATTCCATTGATTAAATCGTAACACATACTCTTGTCACACAAGCAAAAGATATATTATATTTGATAAGTGTAATATTTGTCGAATGGGAGTACAAGTTACTTTTGCATTGTCCGGCCGCGATGGGACATAACGTTGCTCCGATTTCAAGCTGTCATTCAGCGTTTCTTCTGTTTGACTCAAACTAGTTAGTTACAAATTACGATTTTTGTATTTTGTAATTGGAACTATCTATTGTTTTACACGTATGGAAAGTTCTATTAATGCACGAAGCTGTTAACAGTTCTATTGTGGTTGATCACCAATTCCCTATCAAGAAATCAACTGTTCAGGCCTCTACAAGCCTATCCACAGGATTTTTATTATAAGAAACACCAACCAAGAGGACTGAGTTGTAGAAGTACCTGTACTCTTAAGAACAGAGGGGAACTACTAACGTATTGCAGGATATGCGGTATTATAAGTAGGAGACCAGTGTAATGTCCAAGCACAGCTCAAAATGAAAGGTTTGGAACCTGAACATCGAAGTGCCGAAAGTAAAAGTAAATTGTAAATCTTGAGTCCTTAATAAAAAATAAAATAATACCTTCAGGAAATGCAAAGTCACGTGCTAAATCCACAGCACAATTAATGCAAAAGCCGCCGGTCCGTCTCCATATCAAGGCGTAGTGTTAAAAGTAACACAGATTTCCAGCGTGTGGGCGGAGGAAGCAAGAACTAACAAAGGATTTAGTCCTGTAAGATTATATCAGCGGCGGATATTTTAATCGTCTTAGCCAGCCTAAAACTTTGAAGAATAAAATTAAAATATTACTTCAGTGGGTCAGTGGTACTTCGCATAGTGGCTAGAGAAGCGATCAGACAATGCATCATCTGCCACGCCTGGAAAGTCAATCGCAGGTGTGTTAGCCAGATCCTCTCTGCTTACGCTGGCCGGTTGTGAGCGCAGACGCAATTATAAGTGTCACGATATAGTACAGGCTTCGGAGGAGGAGAAAGTGCATGACATTCCAAGCTCCACATTTGCCATACGAAAAGTGCTGAAGATTTCAGGAGCCTCGTGCTTGCAGAGCTCGCAAGTAACTGAAGCAAACAAGTAAAAGAGTGATGAAACACGCCTCGTTATTTCTACCGGAGAATATCATGATATAAACCTAAGATTTTATATTAGTTTTAGTCTAGTTTTAAAATAATAAAAGTAAGTTTATAAGATCATCTTACTAGGTGTGTGCCTGTATGTGCATCCCCCTATGAATTTTTGAATGCGTTAATCAGTCTTCATGAAACTTGGTATGAATATCATAGTACCTAAGTCCATCTCAGCTCCGGTCTAGAAAACCGAGATTAACGGCCGTGGGAATCCGTTGCACTGACCATGCAACACCCTCTCTCCGCAAAAGTTGGCACTAACTTCGCCGACAAGCGGCGGCCGCTCGGTCGGTATAGTTCGCTTTTGGAATAAAGACCACGGAGGAAGCCCATCTCAGCAAAGTGGCACGAGGCATCTCAAAGACGTACTTCCTAAATCCCTCCCACCAGTTTGTGTATCCGTAAGTGTATCCCTCTATCTTTGCTACGCAAAGGCTTGGTAAACACGTTCCCATGGCAAAAAAAAAAAAAAATTATTGTAGGCGTCGCTTTCTATGTGGTCCGTGTCGCATCGAAAGAAAGTATGCGATTAGTTCTCTCCAGAACTTCTTGATTGATTGGGAAGTATTTTCAGGAGCGAAAAACTATCCGAAATTATATAAACCAAAAGTAACGACATGAGTTACTGTTCTAAAAAGGTGAAAGTATGTCATAACTCCTTTAACAGGGAAGCGCAATATATTTTATGTTTGTTCTGAAAGTGTGGAATGTTCACAGAGACACAAATAAAGTTCAGAAATGTCGGCTGAGAGAAAATGAAACGCAGTGAGTAATAATGGAACTTCTTATCGTTGTCAGTACTACAATCAACACTATGAAAGGACACTTGATCAATCAATCCTCCAAAATTCCTTAACTAAATTTGTTTCACATGTACATTTTGGAAACTTTGAACACTGCTCTGTAAATTTCCCAGCTACTCCTTATGAGCCGTTATTTAATTTGATTTTCTGGCTCTGAAACTGAACTTTCCTTTATTTATTTGTCGAGAAGAATGTTTGCAAAATAATATTTCAGGCCTCCTAAAATATTTAATCTCTTGAAATCTGAATACAGCATTATCGCAAGTCACAAAATTGTCTGTTTTGCTTATTTTCTACTCCAGCTGTCGAGCAGTCATTCTCTACTTCAAAAGAGGGCAATGCTTTCCTGCGCAGCAGGTAGACTCGGGAGAGATTCAGTGGGTTATCATTGTTTTTATCATAAATTTCAAGACTAGAAAACAGTCGGAATTTCTGTGACTCTGTGATAGATATTGTATTTTCAATTAAAAAAGTCGTCACATGAAAGAGAAGCATAAGGAGTAATTAAAAAAAAGCAAGTTCAGTATTCGTTAATCGTTTTCTCCTTAGTTCACATTTCTTTCCTCTTTTACTTCTTAACTGCATTCATAACCAGCTCAGATTTGCATTGTTGTCATTTACCATGTACGTACCGTATTTCCGCATGTATAGGCCGCGTGCATGTATAGGCCGCAGCACAATTTTCAGACAGAAATTATAGAAAAAATAATTTTCTTGGAATATTATTTCAGGAGTAGAACACCCTGTATTACTAATTATGAATATAATTTTTTTTAAATGAAGTGTGATTTCGAATATTTCGAATATAAGCCGCACCCCAGTTTTCCTCTTGAATTTTTGGCAAAAAATGTGCGGCCTATACATGCGTAAATACGGTATATATCTACGGTTGCCAAAATTTCCATCACTTCCTTCTGTTTCGGGATTTGGCTAACACTTTCGAAAAAACCACACACCACCACTGGAACTTATGTAGTCTCTAACAAGTCATGAAGTGAAGGGCCAAATTTTTAAAAAACGTCTGATTAAAACTATCATCTATGACAGTATAAATAAATATTTGGGTGAATTAGATTAGAGGAAAGAGAAGCCTCAGATATTACCAACCTATTTCGCGATCGATGCGAAGGCAGATGTCGTCTTACTCTGCCGCCGTTGTGTGTTTAATTTCAGTTACCAACACAAGAGGGAATCATGACGAGTGACAGGAATAAATAGTCTAGCCATTGTTTTATATAACAGCCATAGACTGATGAAGGTAAATGATCACGAATGTACTTTGCATATATTCATATTGTGGTAGAAAAGTCTTGAAAGTCAAAAAATTAATTGTATTAAACAAACAATTTCTTTTCTTTTCTAATGCCGTACTGACTACATGTAAACACTTTCATAGAAAGAGTATTTTCTCTGAACTTGTGGTCTTAACTATATATCTACCAAGGGGCATACGGTAGCGTTGTTGGTTGAGGTATTATGCTAAAAGCCGGAAAGCCCCGGCTTTGATTCCCGATCAGATTATTGGATTTTTCAATTGACCAAATCTTTCCAACTGCAATATGGACCTGGGGTCGACTCAGCCTCTAACAGATATGAGTACCAGGAAGATTCCTGAGAAGTAAAGAGCGACCGGCGCGTAAGGCTGACAACCTTGCCGCCATCTGTGAGCCGACTCTCTAGCAGATGTGGGAGGCTCGACGTCTCACAACCTTATGGGCCTTCACGGCCTGTTACAGGAATAGCTTTACCTTTTTGCCTTTACGCATCTGCCAAAATTAACGGCGTCACATCCCAGAATGTAGTGACCTTTACAAGCACGTGTCTTTAGGTGCGTTAGCAAGAATTGTATAAAGCACCTATTAGCTTCGTCATACTTGTCT